GGGAACCGGTCTGCATGTGGGATCCGAACCCTCGGGCGGGAGCGCCGCCGCGCTTCCCAAGCGGCGCACTATCCAGTGCGCCACCGGGCCGGCCCAACTTCTGGCTGCTTTTTAGACCTTACCCCAAAAGAAACTTTCACAGGAAGTTTCTCATAGCCCTTAAACTGTCATAGTACAGTGGACCTGTCCTTCCTCGCATTTAGCACAACCTGCAGCTGTACATTTACTTTTATGAATATTGATTAATGTCCACCCCCCCAACCCCACCCCCCACAGGAGTGTAAGGCCCATCAAGGAAGGTCTGTGTCTGTTTGCTCCCCAACGTATTCCTAGCTGGAGAGGTGGGAGAGGCTTTGTCCTGAGGACACCCTAAACCAAGTTAAGCTGTTTGGAATTTATCCTAAAGGCGATGGGAAGACTTTGAAGGATTTTAAGCAGAGGAATGATGTGATTAGATATACACTCTGGGAGAATCAACTTGGATAAGGTGTAGAGAAATCCAAACACTCTCAAAACATAGAAATGAGGCAAAGTGACAGCAGCTGCAGGTCACTGCTGTTCTTTCTTCATTCCACTTCTCCTATCCCTCCTCTCTAAATCCAATGAGGTGGGTTACCCCCGGGCCCTCACAGACAAATGCTTGATTGTCATCTCTTTGTTCATTTGAACAGTATTGATTAAGTTCCTAAGTACATACTTGACACTAGGAGTAATAAAATAAGAAGTGGTCCAGGCCCATGTATGTGTCTCAAGCCCACACATCCCACTCCAGTGAGAGAAACTGTCCAATAAACACAGAGTTTAATCCAGTGTGGAATGTACTACAATGGGAGTTTGAAGGAGTTCTAGAACTCAGAGGATGTTGTAACTAAAAGACTTCCCTGGAGGAGCCATAAATTGCCTCATGAGGAGGTGGCCTTTGAACTGGTAGGAATGGTAGGGTTTTGTCAGGTAGAGATAGATGAGGGGGCAGTGTAAGTGTCTGGGACAGAATGTGCAGACCCAGGTCTGTGAAAGGGTATGACTTGTTGGGGAATGGTGGGGAAGGGGGTGGGGAAGGAGGTAGGAAATGGGAAGAGAGAGGTATGTTGCAACCATGTGGTAAAGTTCCTGCAGTATGAATATGGTTCTGTGGGCCACCAGAAGTCACCAGACAACTCTCAGTGTCTCTGGATTTAAAAACAATATGTGACACCAAGGGTTGTGATCCCCTTACCGGTCACGAAAAAGAAAAAAAAAAAAAAAGAAAAAAAAAAAAACCAATATGTGAAGAAATAATTTCTATTAAAGATCAGATGGTTTATTAGGAAAGCAGTGACTAAGCCAGTGAGAGTAATGATCATCTGAACCCAGGAAACACAATAATGATTATGGTCCAGTGGTGGGGTAGACTGTGATTCAAGGGAACAGAGGCCCATGGTCCCAGCAAGCTGGCCCAAGTCTGCCCAGCAGACCAAGGAGGGATCCTGGGTACACCCTTGTGCATGCACTGCCATGACAACTGTCTGGATTTGTGTTTTGCAGTTCCATGGAAAATGGGAGACCACCCGATCCTGCAGACTGGGCTGTGATAGATGTCGTCAATTATTTCCGAACAGCGGGATTTGAGGAGCAAGCTAGTGTTTTTCAGGAACAGGTAACTCAGTGTGGAGAAACACATAATGAACACAATTACTTCCCTTCCCCAGAGTGGGCAGAGGGAGTGAGCAAGAAGAGGACCAAAGAGCAGTGAGGGATCAGTGAGGCTCTGGGAAATTGAGGGGGAAGGATAATGAAAGTGACAGGCTAATGATTCCTTCCTGCAAGAGAAAAACCCAAGGCCTGAGACACAGTCTCAGCTGCAGGGAGCAGGGCTAAAGCACATTTACATCTGCATCTTCTGAAAGAAACATGATCGTGCTCATAGGTGCAGTGAATCAGTCCTACCTTCAATGCAAACACACTAGAAAGCAGAAAACAGAAAAGAAAGAAAAAGGAGAGACAAATCCTGACTGGGAGACATGCAGCGCCTTCTACTACTGGCCTCGGCACCCACTGAACTATTAAACACCTTGCAGTTTGCTTTTTGGATGCTTAGCAAGGTAGAGTGAAAAGAGCACAGAATTTAGAGTCAAATCCTGGTTCTTCTTTTTCCATGTGACCCCAGGTTACAGGAGACATCTCTCTGAGTGTTAATTTCACATCTATAATGTGAAGCTATCAGTACCTAACTGTATAGGGATGTTGTTGTGAGGGTTAAAGGACAATATATGCAAAGTGTCTGGGATAGGCCTGGCACAATGCTGATGCTAAAATTCCTTTTCCTCAGGTCCAGGGTAGGTGTCGGAAAGAGGGAGGGAGGAGCAGGGGACCCTTCCAATTGTCTGGGTGATTTATGGCTGCATTTTGCAGACTGGGCAAGCTCTGTCTGTAGG